CAAGTTGGTGAGACTTCGTCACATATGCTAATGAAGCTCAGATATGTGAAACCTATCCTACACCTCTGAACCAACTAGTCTGGAAACCATCCAAAAAGAAAATGAGATTAGGCTTTCCAGATTTATCTCTATGAGCAGTCCTGATGATCAGTACCCTTTCTGGTGCTCCTAAACTACTACTAGAGTAATTCTGTTCTGCAATTTTGCTTGTCCTTGCTTAGATGATCTATATAATCTCTTTATTTACCTTGGGCTACACTCCATTTTGCCAATGACTCATAATTGTTTATATCTTAAATTCTTTTCCTCAAGGAAAAACACAGGAAGTAGAGCTGAGAAATCTTTTTCTTTCATTGTGTTCTAGTATCAGTTTCTAGAAGGGGGCTTACCTTCTCTTGATCTTGTGCTGATCTTTAGAAAGCCATTTTTCCTTTCCATGTATGAACATGAGAAATAAGGCAATCAGGTATGAGAGACTGAAATACGATTTTAGGAGCAAGTGATCTGTATGAGCCTCATGGGAATTTGGGACTGAGAGGGTATGCAGAGAGGGGGTGTGGTTGTGAAAATTGCATGGAGATGGACAGGGAGGCAATCGGAGTGATAGTCTTGTGTGAGGCATGAACAATATGGCATTGACCAACCGTATCCCTCTGCTCACCTTTAGTCATGAGAGCACAAGCCTGGAAGAACTTGAGGGATCATCTAGGTTATGACAGACACTGTCAGGTCAAACAACTACTAGATTATCTCTGGTTTCTAATTTGAAATATCTACAAAGAAAATTCTCGTCTCAACCTCTGCAAGCCACTTCCATGTTTGACCACCCTCAGTGCCTACACAATTGTTGCTCTGTTTAGCTGGAATTCTTCTAGCTACAGTCCAAGCCCTTAGAAGAATGGAATCTCTGTGGGTTAGAACTGCCTTGGTGGCCTGAGAAAGGCAGTCCTGGGAGGTGTGGAAGGATGGTACGTGGGAACAGGGGTGTAATGCCCAGTTTCTAGTAAGAATACATAGGACTTCAGGGTCTCATTTTATTAGGGACGCTCATCACAGAGATCTTCATCCAGGAAGTCAAACACCTTGGTTCTACTAGTGGCACGCCAGGACCTAGGGAACACCTTGAACATGCATCCTCTTTCTTCTGAACTGGTCCACAGACATACTGAGTGTCCAGAGGGAGACCAGCAGGTACTGGCGTTGGGATATGGTCTCTGTTACCTGGTCAGAAGGGACTTAAATGTGCCTTCGGGTTAAATATGAAAGAAAAAAAGCTTTCCTGAAAGGCTTGAGGAAAAAGCCTCTTTAGGATAAACCAGATATTTCTTAGCCTCTTTTTTATACCCAGCAGCACAGTTTCAAGCACAGTACGGGTCATGCATGTCAATCAGGGCAGCAGCATGAACTCAAAACAGCCTGCAAGAAGTTTTTAAAAGAGCCTCCTGAGAAATCTCTGCAGCCAACCAGCCAGAAAAGCAAAAGCCCCCCGGCTTGGAGCTGACACAGCCTCCTTGTCAGGTGAGATGGGCTCTATGAGGAACACAGTCATCCCCTTCTGCCCCTGTTCTGGCGGACAGCCCCCGGGCCCCGCAAACTTCCCTCGCTGCTCTGCAATCGTGGACCATCATTGCCAATACCCACTGACCATTTTCTCTGTCCCAGCCCTGGCTGAAGTGCTTGACCTAGAAGAATCTGGTGAATTTCTGAGGCATTAACAGAAGGCTGGCAAGGGCTATTCTCCCATCTCACAAATGAGAACATTGTCATCTAGGGGCAAGAATGCCTTTCCCAAAGAATAAAGGGCAAATCCGGTTCCTAGGTCTGCACAGTACTCCAGTCAGGACTCCTAAGCCCCTGCGAGGAGGCAGGAGCACACTCACAGGTGGTCTGTACCGGGGAGGGGCTGACGCAGAGGGATGCCGAAGACACAGGAACCCCTGAGAGAGAGACGATGGTAGCAGCCCTTTCTGGGTTCTCAAAGAGCCTATGAGATAAATGTGCAGATCAGGATTTTATCGAGTCCTTGGGGTTGGAAAACTGCCTCCAACTTGTTGAGCTCTGAAAAATCAAAATGCTAGAGGGAGAGCGCACAGAAGGGATCAGCTCATGGGGGTGAGTGAGGGAGGTGGCAGGAGGGGACGAGCGCCTGCCCAGAGAGTGGAGGTGAGGGTGGGGGCAGCCAGGACTGGATGGAGCTGACCGTGGCATTCTTCGTTACGGTTCTAATTCAGCACAGGAAGGAAGAGAGACCACAAAGGCCCATCTATAACCACGCTCCCATCCACGGTGTTCAGCCTGCAACTCTGTTTGGAGAAACCTCTGACCCCGGGTTGATTTCCACTGCAAATGTCTCAGGCTGTCTCTGAGTCTTACCCTTGGATAATGTAAAATAAGCTATAGGACCCACCGTGACTGTGTGCCGAGGACATTTTCATTTTGCATCAGGGCAGCCAGATGAAGCAATTGGGGTGACCAAATTTGGGGCTAAAGATTGGACAAAATATTATGGTGTTGGCCCACGATAATGGTCAAGGCCAAAGCGGCGGTGGATGGGCTATTCGTGAGGCCACATATACCGAACTGAGATCAGTAAGTGAGAAATGGGTGGTTTTTTTTTTTTCTTTGCTTTGCTACCAGACTCTAGCAGCTCTGTAGTTGTCCCAGCTGCCACAGTTGGTCCCACACTACACACCTTCTTCCCAGTGATGCCACAGCTGGGTGGTAAGTTACTGAGAACAGGAGTACCCTGGGGTGGGGAGGCACAAGGAAAGGCCTGGAAACCCCACCTCGGGTCAGAGTGCTCCTCAGGGGTTCAGATGGGGTTCAGACGTCTCCGTATGACCCAGACCATTTCCTCTTCCTCGGAGGCCCGGATCCAGATTGCATCAGTCCGGCCTGCCCCCGTTCCTTGGAGGGGGTTAGTGGTTCCAGGCCCTTGACACACAAATCATATAATCTTGCTGCTGATAAATGGTTCTGCAGACAGGATGACTCACACTGTCCTGCCCGGCTGGCAGTTTATCTAGCGTTCCCTGTGAAGCCCAGTCTACACCCTTCTTGTTTAAATTAAAATTGGCCTTGATAGAAGGCACTCACGAACCTGACTAAAAGTGGGGATTCTGGAGTTAAACTGCCTGGTTCAAGTCCTCACCGTAATGCTTTACTGTAGGACTTGTGACAAGTCAGGTAATCTCTCTGTATCTCACTTTCCCCATCTGTACAATAGAGAGTGGCCACTTCTTGGGATTTGGAATGAATAAATACACTTAAACATTTGGAAGAGGGCCTCACACCAGAATTAAATGTCAGTCATTAGTAAGTGAAAACATCTTCTGGGGTCAAAGCTGATCAAAGTGTCAACATATCCATTTTCCTTTCAAATTCTCCACCCTTCATTGACTTAATAGGGGGACAGTTTGGGAAAGTAGGGAGGGATGGGTATGGGGGTGAGGACAAAGTGGGGAGGACAGTAGGGTGATAAGGCCTGATTGTTTTTCAAGATTCCTTATCCGAGAGGCAAGATGGTACTGCGGGAAAGGGTAAGTGTGACCTTATCTTGACTTCCATGCCCTCAGCTGAGCGGGAGGGAAACCCAGCAGCCCCAGCAGCCCTAGCAGACTCAGCACCTGCTGACCAAATGGCTCATGTCCAGTCTATTGCAGGAAGTATGGGCGGATGAACTTGCTGATTCTCAGAAAGGACCCAAGATTTAAAAGAATGGATTAAAGATGTGAAGAGCCCTAACCTTGGACTTGGAGACTCCTAGAGCTTTAGGCAAACATCCTGTACCTAGCCTCTCTCTCCTCACATAGAGGAGGGAGGAAGCAGCAGCACTGGAAATCTTCTCCTGGCATGATCATTGATATTCTGTTAAGTAGGCCTGGGATGGAAAGAATGGACTTAAACCAAACTGGGCAGCCCAGGTAGTGGGTCTGAATAGATTGTGAAAAGGGAAGCTGCTGAGTGATTAAAGAGAACATTTCGGGCCTTTGTGGGGCTATGATGGTTTTTGTAAATAAACATAGGAGGTATGCTTTATTGTTCATCCTTCTTTACCTGTGGGGAGTAAATAAACCACATCAAGTAGCTCCTCAGCCCCACACAGCCACAGAAGACTGAGCTGGCACCTAGCTATGAAGGTTCCTGGTCCCCTCACTGCCCACTGAAATAGAAAAATCCCTCCCTTTCCAGAAGTCTGGTGGATTAGAACTTCAATGATTTAGGCTCTAGACTAGATCCACTCCTTCCCAAGTCTGAAACCTTTGGGCAACCAATTAAACTTCTGAGACTTTCTCTTAGTATTTATAAAATAAACTCTGGTAGTCACACTGGAAACGGTGGTAGAAGGACCAGAAGATGTAGTGACATTGTATAGCTTCGGTGTGTCTCTGCACCACTAGGCACTAAACAAAAGTAAATGGAGGTCCCTAGTGACTCTGTTCATTCAAAAGTCCTTTTTCAGCTGGCAATACAAAAAAGAACTCAGGACAGAGATTTTCAATAGTGCCTAGATACCCTTTGGCTGCTCTGTAATTCTGCACTGGGTTTGTAAACAGAGGCCATGTTCTGGCCAATCTTTGTGTGCAGAAGTGATGCAGCGTATCCTTCCTTGGAGATGTAGTTAAGTACCTCCTCCCTCTTTCTTCCTTGCTATGGCAATCTTGGAAACTATGTTTTCCAGATAGCATATTTATGAGATCCAAGGGGGCCACTGAACTTGCACTATGTTTTATGTGACTGAGAAATCAACATTGTGCTGAGGCACTGAGACAGAGGACTGCTCTGTTGCTGCACAGCTTAGAGGTCAGCACCCTGAATCAGAACAGAAGTTCTGGGCGATAAGAGGTCAAGTCAGCTTAGGGAGATGCAGGTTCTATCAGCTTTCCAGGAATTTACTTTAGGAGTTCTAGCCATTCTGCTCAAAACCTTTTAGATCTCTCATCTCCTAGTGGGGATGGGACAAATCATCCTAGACAGAAAGTTTGCTTTTGCTACAAAATGCATTTATTTCCAGACAGACAAAATTCTCCAGCTGCATATATGAGTACATATTCTAAGGTCCTTCGGTAAATGTCCTGTTTGTAAGAGTCATTTCTAATTATTAAAATGCATACCAAACATTTTTGTCTCTTAAAATATAACTTAAATAACCTGCTAATGTGTAAGCCGTAAGTCTGGTCACTGACATGAGTGGCGTGCGATTCTTCACTGAGTGTGGTGCGGGATCAACACATCATCCCACGCTGAGCTTTCACAAGTCCTTGGGCAGCAAGCCCTCTTCTGTGGACAAAGTTATGTGGAGACAAAGAAGCATGATATATGCAACATGGAGAGGCATTTCACAGAATGCAAACACCATTCAGGTACATAAGTGGTCCGGAGCATGAACGTTCAGTGCACATGAATCTGTTTACACTAGCCGGGTGCGTGGCACCGTCTCACTGGGCACTCAATAAATATCTGTTCAAGTGAGGATAAGAGAATAAGCTGGAACAGTTGTCTTGGTGCCCAACATCTGTTTTCAAGACAGGGCTTTATGCTGTGAGTTTTGTTTCTTCAGAGTAAATCATTCTGCTTGGAAAGCCATTCATTTCCTTACCTTCAAATACTTCATTAGCATTTACAGACTTCTTGCAGTCTGCTGGTATCCGGTGCTCACTGGCTTAAGAAGAGCACAGGATGGCCCAGACCAAGTCTTGATTTGCCTGTTGAAGTGAAAATCCGGTTGGCTCAGAATTTCTAGGATTGAGTTGATTCTTCACACCTTCTCTTGTGTTGGTTCCTTCTAATATCCCAAGCCCAGAGGAACCGTAGAAACTCCTAGGTTGAGCAGTATACTTCTTCATGAAATCTCATTCCGGTATCCGCTCTGAAGGTAAGGTTCTTGTTCTAAGGCTGATACTGGGGAATGCCCCACAAAGGAAATTCCTGGAAAGTCTGGATCTGCTTGTGATTCTCCTATCATGCCTTTCATTCCCCATAAGGCTAAGGTTGCAATTCTGGAGACACAAAGGAAAAGTTTCTAAATTCATCCTGGTTAATCATAGGAAGATGTCCCTCATCAATTGGGGTTAAAACTGGCTCTTCCTTAATGAAGTCAGGGTCGAAATTACTGACATCTTCTCGGGATTTCTGTCAAAAGGAAACAATGGTCAGATTTTAGGCGCAGGAGGCTTTCTCCTCTTCCCTGGGCCTGCACCCTCTCCGGGGAGGTCAGAAGGGCTCTACGGCCCTGGGAACCGCAGTATGTACAGTTAGGACCATTAGGACTAAGCGCGTTGTAGTAATTCTGCTGTGCTGTGTATTGTTATGGGCATTTGGAAACCCCCACTTCACTAACCCCACGGAAATCTTGCCGAGAAGGCCCTCCTCAGGCCAGGAGGCAAAGCAATTACTTTGGTCACCTGATCCAGCCCTCCCAATCACCCTTTAGTTGGCATTTCACCAAAGTGCCACTTCTCAACGGGCTCTACTGAGGGACACACACACTTGGTTGTCAACAGAGTGTAAGTTCACACTTGCCTCACCAATTGCTTATACACAGGACTCTAGGTTTGAAGAGATTTTCTTGAAAGACGTGGAAGCACAGTTTAGGAAGCAACTGCCTCATGCTTTACTCACCAGCTGGCTTCCTATTGTCTCGCTGGCAAAGCCTTCCCTCCTACCTAAGGCACTGGCAGGGGAGGCCTGGTAAAGGAAGTGGCTTGACAGCTGGGTGCCTGGTGCTCAACCTTGGGGGCTGTTACAGATTAAGCTGGCTGTATGTTTGGAAATGTTGATATTTTACATCTTTATAAACTAATGCTGGAAAGCTCACTTCTGCCATTGTTAGGTAAGAAAAATGAGAGGTCTAAGTTGAAGATATGTTTCTGCTTTCTCCACTGTGGATCTCTTGACCCAAAGCCAGAGCTAGACCACCCTCAGGAGTGCCCCCTCAGCTACCTTGCTTGGGAAGGTACCCCTGGCGTGCCTGGTATTTCTCGAGTCAAAGGGATTTGGCCTGAGGTCTGGGCAGCAGTAGCTGATCCAGACCCAGGCTCTCCAAGCCAAGGAGCCAGGTTCAGTGAGATGGGTAGCATTTCATGCCTTTTCTACTTCCTTGAAGGCTTGGGAAAGGTACTGGGGGTGTGTGAGGAAACTTTAAGAATGATGAATTTCTCAGCCCCAATCTTTTGGGGAAACCTAGGAAGTTTTAGGTCTTTTACGCTCCAGAAAGTTTAGGTTAAGGGAGAATGGATTCCAGAGCAAGCAAGAGGTGAAAAATTTGAGAGAAGTAACCTGGAAGGAGAGAGAGGCTGCCTCAAGGGCCAGCCTCCTCCTGGGTGAGCCCACCTTGCAGGGGTGAGGCTGAACTTCTGGTTCAGTTATTCCATAGGGGACAACAGATTTTGGTAGAACATGGAGACATTTTAAGAAAGAGGAAAGTCTACTCTGATGGTCTTAAACACTTACGATTCTGGGTCTGAAAGGTGGTTCTACTTGGCGATGGTTCAGCTGGGCCCAGTCGATTTCCTTAAAGAAAGGATGTCTCAAGATGGCATGCTCTCCGCCCTGCGTAAGGCTGCCCAGGCGCATGGTGGGGTTCTTGGTCATGAACTGAGAGGGGAAGAAAGAGAGTCGGTCATTCAATAACATACAACAATTAGGTCACAAGATGGTAGACATTAGCCCTGGCAGAGGAGCCTGTGTGAGGCTTTCTGGCTGATCTTGCTTAACTGGCTGAATTTTCCATTATGGGCACCGCCAGCATGAGTCATCCCTGAAAGGCGCAATTGCTTGTGTATATTTATGGCCTTTGCCACTTCCATTTCAGACGTGGCCGCTAAAATAAAGCTGAAGGGTCCAGTTTTCTTCACTGTAAATACCATGTATTTTTCTTTCCCTTTTAAAGAAAAACTCTTTATAAAATAGTGTGCCTTTCTCCAACACTGCAGTTGCCGACAGCCCACAGCTTATGAATAGGGCTACTTTTAAGAACAGCTGTGCCATTTTCTGAGGACCTGACCAGCCGGCCAGGGTTCCTACTCTCTGACAAGACCACAGAGAGAAGAGTGAGGGTCATTATTTTGAAGATTTGTGGGAAGAAGCTGCGAGAGTAAAAAAACCCAAAGTTGGCCACTTTTCTTCATGCAACAAAGATGCTCTCTTCTCCTACTCTTCTATTTTGAAATGGTGAATGACTGAGAAGCTTCCTACATAGACCATTTAAGCAATGAGTGTAGATAAATCCTCTGTATATATACCAATCGGGTAACTTGCCTTGGGCTGAGCTCCTATCAGGATATTTGGAACTAAATCGTCTTTGACAAAAAGGCCCGTAAGGTGTTCTGATCCTGTCCAAACTAAGGATTCGCACAGGATAATTTGCTTTTCAGGGCCAGAATGTGATTTTTCAATTTTAAAGACACTCAAGCTGATTTAAAATAATAATTCAAGGTAAAAATGGCCTTGGATTAAGAAGTTTTGTGGTAACGTTTAAATCAAGTTATCTTTAACCAAGTTTGATCTGTGAGAACAAGAGAAAAGCTCTTGCTCTGCTGTGGAATATTCAGAGTAAATAAAAAGCCGCTGTGGTTGAAGGCAGTGTTGGGAGGCAGCATCCCGGCCTGGCCAGGGGTCCAGAGCTGCAAAGCCTCCACTGGTGACCCTGGGGTGGGGAGAAGGCTGCAGAACTCCCTAAGCGTAGCTGACAGGAGAGACCTCAGAACATGCTGAACAGCCCTCCAAGGGAGCCAAGAAAAAATGCAGACACCAGTGGGGTTTAACAGCTTTTCCTCCCTCCTACGGACAAAGAATTCAGGGCCATAGGTGGGGTTGGAGTGGAGATGCAGCCCGAAAGTCTGCGGGGCTTTCAGAGTGGCACAGGTCCAAGCATTTAGCTCAGTTCTGTGAGCGCGAGGTGTTCATGCTGCCTAGGTTCTCTTGGATCAGCCTGTGCACTCAGAAAGGAAGGGGGAAATACGTACACAAGAGAAACAAGCACGGGGATCCAATCCCTAATAGGACAGACATCTATTCTAAGAGCTAATTAACAAACAATGCTGCAGAAAACCTTAGAGTACAAGGATGGTAGAACAGACCCCAGTGGCTTGTAGGAAATTCCCAGGCCTGCCAATGAGGAGAGCAGAGGACATTTTGTGAGTGTGCGGGTACAGCTTGTTCTTCTGGGCAAAAGGAACAGTGCCTGGCTCTCGCTGCCAGAGTGGCAGAAGCCCAGTGTCCAGCAGACTTTGTCCATTTTTCTTTGCCCCAGGCACTGAAGCCAGACTTCCAAGGGGCACTGTGGAGAGGCACTGGGCGTGAGGGAAAGGAGACCAAATCACGGCTGTTCTTCCTCTAAATGCATCCCTGGAAAGGGAGACCGTCAGAATAACCCTTTCACTAGCCTGATACCTTCTCTTGGGTTCTGGTAGGTCCTTCTGAATAACCAGACAGTTTAGTTTTGACTTTTAGTATCTTGTTCTGAGCCCGTTAGACACAGCCATTCTCCAGTATAAAAGGGGGATCAATTTACAAAGGTTTACGTGGTGTCCAGTGCATGCAAGGCCGTGTACCAGCCGTTGTGGGGACAGAGATGGCAAAGACAGTGCCTGTCCACGAAGGAGCTGATCGAGTGAAGGGGGAAGAGGCCAGCAAGCTTTGTGGCAATCACAGCTGGGTGAAATGAAAAGAGAAGGCGTGGCGACTTTGAAGAGGGGCTGGTCACGACTCCTCGGTGGCACTTGACAAGAGAGGAGGGGGATGAAGGGAAAGAACACAGGCCTGAAGGAAGAAGACAGTCGTGCCCAAAAGCCAGCACAGGTGCAGAGGAACATATAGTGTGGTGTGACTGGCACGTGGGGATGGTTGGGGAGCCAGGGGAGGGGTGGAGAGCCAGGAGGGCTAGCCTATGGGAGCCACCGGGGTCCTAGAGAGAGGTGAGTGAGGCTCCAGCCACAGTGTACTGGGTACGTCCTGAAGGAGGAGGTAAGATTATTGGTGGCGGGTGGACAGTTAAGAGGTGGAGAAAATAGCTGAGAGGACTGGACAAGTTCAGAAACAATCAAGGTTTCTGGTTAGTGGGAAGGCAAAGATAGGAGCAAGTCCTAGAGGGCTTGCGGAAGAAGAAGGAACACAATCCCCACTGGCTGGCCTTGCAGCGAGGGTGAGCAGGAGTGCAGGGTCACACGGTCTGCTCTGGCTGACTGCTGGAGGGTTGGTACTGGATAACCGACTCAGTAACAAAAAAAGGGCAATTACTGATAGCCTTAACCACAGAAGCAGTAACATTAGTAATAGCAGTGTTTTGGGGGAATGGAACGAAAACATCCAGCATTTCTCAAGACCTGACAGGGTGCAGATCTGGGAGGCTGAGCTCAGCTTTGCATTTGAAGTGTGCAGACATCCCCCATGGAAATGACTAGTCAAGTAAATCCAGGGTGCAGGCAAGGATTAGAGATCTGAGATAGCAACATTTGGTGAGAGGGTAAGAGATGAAGCTGGTAGGGCAGGCAAGACTAGGGAAAAGAGAGTATAGAAGGAAGACCAGCCCCAGGCCTCAGACATCTTATTTGGCTCACACAGCATGTTTTAAAATAACTTTAATTACTTGTCAAATATTTAAAAACTAGGAAATGTCATTTAAGAGTCAAGTTTTTCACTTTCTCTTGGAAAATAGAATATTCTAGAACACTAAACTTGCCCTGGTTGATATACAGGGCCTAGAGTCCAGCAGTGGCTGCTTTTTCAGATGGAGCATATGATCCCTGGTCAGCCACATGCCCCACCACTCCACATTGCCTCACAGCTAGCGGGCTTCACTCACTGACTTTGCATGGTTCTGAGCCCTGGCACAGGGACAGAAAAGCCAGGGCAGGGCAGGGCTTCTGGTTCAAGATGGCAACCTAGGAAGACCCCCAACTCCCCTCATCCCTGGACATATCAAATCTACACCTATTTTATAAAGCAGTTTTCCCTGGAGAGGAACTGAGGGCTGACCGAACAGCTTCTGCACAACACAAGCTAGATGGAGACAGGGTAACATGCTCATAAAGGGAACACTCAATGTTGCAAACCGAAGTGGGGAGGAATAGTATTGAGAGACTTTGAGTAGATTCAATTGCCCTGGAGCACAGAAAAAAATCATTTAAGAGTACAACTAGAATATAAAGCATTCAGCCTTAGAAGCTTGACAAATGGCAGGAGACATGCTAGAAATCTCTCCAGGCTGGAGGGGCTGGCGAGTATTATGAGTGCAGTCCCCCTCCACCTTGGTAGCATGGAGAGGAGCAAGGTCCAGTGCCCTAGTGAGCCTGACACCTCAGTGAACCCCAGGCCCTTGGTCCGGGGTGGCCCCAGCAAGGCAGCCCCCAGGGCACCTGTGGTCAGCACTTACTACAGTTCTAGACTTCCTGCCAAGGTGACACAGCACACCATACCTGAGATACTCCAGACAACACCACTTTGCTTCCAGGTGACTTGCTAGGGCTCCCCCAGTACAAAGTGCTCTGGGACCTTCTAACTCAGTTCCAGCAGCCCAACCAGGGCCCCCCTGTTAGAGCACCTTGGGCAGCAACAGCCTTGGCTACAGGTGCCTATTGTGCCGAATACTTGGGGACCCCCTGCCTTGCACCAGCTTCAGCTATCCTGCTAGAGTGCCTTCTGCTCTCTGGGAGGGCCCCAGCCCATGCCAGCTGTCCTGCCAGGGCCCCCTCTGCATAAAGAGCAGCAGGACTGTCTCAGTCCAAACCCACTTCAACTCCTGCCATCCCAGTAGGGCACCCCAACATGGAGTGCCCCAGGACTCCCAGCCCACCCTAGCCTCTCCAGTGAACCAACCAAAGTCACCAGGTATACATAGTCTATAGGGGGACAACCCTACAACAGACCATTCCTTCAGCTCCAGGAGAAGTAGCTATTCTGCTTAATTCATAAAAATTAATGGAAAGTCAAGCAAAATGAAACAGAGGAATGTGTTCCAAATGAAAGAGCAGGACAAAAACCTCAAAAAAGAACTAAATGAAATGGAGATAAGCGATATGCTGATAAAGAGTTTAATGTAATATAGAGATTTTCACTGGACTGAAGAAAAGAATGGATGAAATGAGGATTTCAACAAAGAAATAGAAAATATTAAAAAATCAGCTGAAAAATAAAGGAAAAGTACATGAGAGGGATCAATACTCCATTAGCAGATGCAGAAGAATGGATCAGTGATCTAGCAAATGATAAAGGAAAACCCCAAGCTGAACAAATAAGAAAAAAGAATCTTTAAAAATGACAAATTAAGGGATCTCTTAGCATCAAGCAAACAAACATTTGCACTATGAGGTCCCAGAAAAAGAGAGGAGAGAGAGGGACAGAAACTTATTTGAAGAAGTGATAGCTGAAAACTTCCCTAACCTGGGGAAAAACACAGACATCCAGTTCCAGGAAGCAATGAGTACTAAAAACAAGATGAACCTAAGAAGGCTCACATTATGACACGTAATTAAAATGTCAAGGATTAAAAATAGAGAATTTTAAAAGCAGCAAGAGAGAAGCAGCTAGTTACTTACAAGGGAAACCCCATAAGGTTATCAGTTGGTTTTTTAGCAGAAACTTTGCATATATCAGGC